TGGAACTTGGAAGAAGCTCAAGGAGCTTCGTCGTAGAAGTTGAGGAAATCTTCAAGGACTTAAGTTATAAGAATATCCTATAATTTATGTTTTGTTCCCTGAACATCTACAAAATTTCTTTAAGCCCTTGAAGATATTTTCCCTAAAAGGGAAGTTATTCAGAATGTATTCAAAAGATCTACACGTAAACAAAGTCCTGTGAATATTTTAGGCCTGTATAATTCTTAAGATCTCAAACTTTTTAAATATACAAAAATCATCTCTCATACATCATTCCAATACAAATTCATGCATTCGTTAGCGCAGAAAGCTCTCAATTAATAACTATGGAAATGCTTCATAGAAGTCTAATTTGAGCGCAGGCGAAAACTCATATATTTAAGAGCGTCAAATCCAAGTATAAACAGCCCCTATATGTCAATTTTTGATTGCAAATACATTTGAGCTCGATAATCCCGTCACAACCACTGCGCATAATTTAAAACTTGTAGAATCAAAAAACTAATTAACTGCACAAATTGAAAGAGAAACCGCACAGCTCCAAAAGTGCGCCATAATCCACGTAGCAATATTCTGCTCTGCTCCACCACCACCATCACTGACAAGATGTGCTTTCAGTTTCCAATCTATCCGCAAGGATCAGCCCAAAGGACAAGATATCTCGTGCATGCACCACATGCGCCTCCAAACACGCCGTAAAATCGGCGACAAGGAAAATTTGCATTTAAATTAAAACACCCTGACTATGCTCGATTTTACTGACGTAATTTCCCGTTAACGTCATCTCTGCCATCTCTCTCTCTCTGCCGCTCTCTGTCGGACCACGTGGCTTAGAGTTCCTTACAGTAAAGCCCCTGTTTTCCATCTCCTGATGATAAGGCAAATAGTAACTGCGCAGCATGAAGCCGATAGTCGATTCCGGGTTATTTCATAATTCCTATCGATCCAATTTTGACCGAACAGGGGAAGTGTGATCAAGGAACAAATGTAGGCCAGAAATTAAGGGTGCAAAATATGCTTACACTTTTTACGACTTATTCAATCTTATCGCCGACCTGCCGTCATCTGCTTCCTGTCAAAGTGCCAATTCAGGTCCACGGTGTTGAAAAAAAAATCCACCCGTTCGGGACCATAAACTTGTGTGGAAAAGTTATTCGATTAAACCGTTACTGTCGCCTGCCTACGGCATGTCCTCAATCCTGGCCCGGATTGACGAAATTCTTCAAGTTTACCAAACTCAAGATGATCGTTTATTTTGTTTCGTTATGTTTTGATATGCGAAGGGGAAAAAAACAAGAGCGATGATGATGCGGCGTCGGCGTGAGCTGAAAGAAAATCAATCCCATTTTAATTGGCAAACTTTTCCAGTCAGATATTTTGTCTCGTGAAATATGGTGATGAGAATCTTCTATCGTTTGGTTGGGAGGTTTTTTTCTTGAATTTAATTTACTTTCTTTGCAAGTCATGATTTAGAGAACTGGCATTGGGGAACTTTTGTGAATGAAGAGGTGTAGTAGAGAGTGTGTGTTTTTAGGAAGTAAGGATTCTGGAATCCAATCCGACGTGTGGTTTTTCTATTTTTCCAGCAGCAAAATTCTCACTTGAATTGTTTCATTCGCCCTGGAGCCAATAGACCAAAAACAAAGGATGATACTGCTGCTGGGTTTTCTTAAATTAAAAAGTGATGTTTATGACAGTTACCTCAATTCAACCTCCAACCACCCTTCGTTTTCGCAATATTTCCTTGAGTTTGACTCTTTGCTCTTTCTCGATTGGCACTCTTTATGCTAGAAGCGTGCAAACTCCATCGGTTCTTTGTTAAGTTCCTAGGGCAGGACATCGTTTCGTTGGGGTTTTGTTGATTGCTTAATTCAATTATTTCGTGCTCAAGATTCGCTTTCAACACCTTCCGCCGTCCGCCATGCCACCAAACGTAATTGAACGGCAAATGGAGGACAAACTTGTCGCCTGTCGGAAAATTTATACTTTTATTATGGTTCATTTTGAAAACCTTGAAATAATGGATGTCGCAAAAAAAAACAACAACAAACGATAAAGCGCTAATTTCCTGACAGGAGCAATTATTTCGTTTTGTTTTCGGTGTTAATTTCGCTTAATTTTTATCGTTGGTTTTCGCTCCAGCAACAGCAGCGGCAGTAGCAGCATCATGAATAACGGTGTTATTTGAGTTGGCAACAATGTTTGGGACGAACGGCATCCGCCTCTTATTGCTATCGGTAGCTGGATGTTCAGCTTGTTAGGAAGAAGGGAAGCTTTCTAAAATTCGTTCCAATTATGGACAACAGTGCTGCTGTTGGCTACACACAGTTTGCGGTAGTTTGTGATTATGGCTTGAATTTAGCACGGATCTCGTTCATGGGAAATAGTTGGCAAGCTGCCAGAAGCGGAAGTGTGCCAGTAGCTTGGGAGTTCGATGGAGGTATGCGTAATCTATCTTCTAGGCTTTGCTGAGTTATGGTCAAATTATGAGCATTATTTTATGCATTTGCCTGATTGGAACATATGCCTGCTCTCAAAATATGCCCACGTGAAACGAGAAAATTTCCAACCTGAAAAGTTGCATGACTAGACCCGGAATCAAATATTCCATCCGTAGCATATGGTCTGCTTTTATGAACGGTCTCTACGCATTCAGTTTATTTGCTTTAGAACAGGCCCAGAAGCTTTCAAGAACAAATCCAGAATGCACCGAATGAATGTCTTGTAGTTTTTAGATGAGAGTCTAATGAGCTTCAGGAACAATTTCGGTGGAGGGTCTTCAAGAACATTGTTACAAGTACGCTTTCCATTTGTTTAGTTTTGTTTTAAGTTTGTTATTTATTTGCAGAGAATTCATATTTATACAATTTACTCATTTCATCAAATTGCATGATGTAAATGATTCATGAAGTGAATTCATAAATGTTACACTTGTTATACAAAAATCAATGAGTTCCCAATACGTTCAGCTAATTCAGGCTACAAAATGGTGAGTTGACAACCTGGAAGAAGCGGAGTACCTACCCCTGGTCGTAGCAAGTTCCTACTTCACGCCTCCCCGAGTCATATGATAACAAAAGACTACCAGCAGAAACATGGACACAGCTGGGTGGTGTAGCTTGGGCAATGTTGCCAGTCCAGCAATAGCAAAGTGAAGAGGTGCGACGCGAACACTGGCGCAGTAACCATAGTGCGGTGTTAGAAGAAATGCTTCACCAAACCCGAGCGTCTGTTCACCATGGAGGTGCGGCTCAAAACGGCGTCTGTTCTCCATGTTAGGAGCGGCTGATCACCGTCCTAGTGCCTGCGTGGGACTCTAAACAGAGCTGTGCACGATGGTCCCCCGGCGAGACAGGGGGTTGGGGCAGGCCCAACAAGCCGCCCTGGAAAAAAACATAAAGTTGCAAATACTGAAGAAAGAAATACGGATCGGAACAATCGAAATAAGGACTACGATTGAAAACTCGCTGCAAATCGCATGGAACTGCAAATCGCTCGGCTTCCCGGGCTGCGATAGGTTAATCTATGACGAACTTAAACCACGCAACTTCAAAGTCGTAGCACTGGAGGAACTTTGCTGGACGGGACAAAAGGTATGGAAAAGCGGGCATCGAGCGGCTACTTTCTACCAGAGGTGTGGCACCACCAAAGAGCTGGGAACCGGCTTTGTAGTGCTGGGTAAGATGCACCAACGCGTGGCAGCCGATCAACGTGGGAATGTGCAAGTTGAGGATTAAGGGCCGTTTCTTCAACTACAGCATCATCAACGTGCACTGCCCACACAAAAGGAGACCCGACGACGAGAAAGATGCGTTCTATGCGCAGCTGGAGCAGGTGTACGACGGCTGTTCGCAACGGGACGTCAAAATCGTCATCGGTGACATGAACACTCAGGTAGGATGGGAAGCAATGTATAGACCGACAATCGGGCCAAACAGCCTGTATGCCGTATCGAACGACAACGGCCAACGATGCGTGAACTTTGCAGCCTCTCGGGGTATGGTAGTTCGAAGTACCTTCTTCCCCCGCTACCACGGACCAAATTTTCACGATTCAGCATCATTTGTTCATCGATTTCAAATCCGCATACGACACAATCGATCGAGATCAGCTATGGCAGATGTACGGATTTCCGGATGAACTGACGCGATTGGTCAAGGCGACGATTGATCGAGTGATGTGCGTTGTTCGAGTATCGGGGACACTCTCGAGTCCCTTTGAATCTCGAAGGGGGTTACGGCAAGGTGATAGACTTACATGTCTACTATTCAACATCGCGTTAGAAGATGTGATCAGAAGACTATCCCTACTCCCTACACGAGTAGTACGATCTTCAGGAAGTCCATCCAGCTTCTTGGCTTCGCCGATGACATTGACATTATAGCACGGAACTTTGAGACGATGGCGGAAACGTACATCAGACTGAAGGCTGAAGCTAGGCGCATTGGACTTGCCATTAACGCATCAAAGACAAAATACATGAAAGGAAGAGGTTCTAGGGAAGACAATGTTAGCCTCATTAGCCAACGCGCCCTTGGTGTTTTCGAACGGAAGGTGTTGCGTACCATCTACGGTGGAGTGCAGATGGATGACGGAACGTGGAGGAGGCGAATGAACCACGAATTGCACCAGCTGCTGGGAGAACCATCCATCGTCCACATTGGGCGGTCCAAAAATTGGGCGACTACGGTAGGCTGGGCACGTCGTAAGAATGCTGCACGACGACCCAGTGAAAATGGTTCTAGAATACGACCCAACAGGAACAAGAAGAAGAGGCGTGCAGCGGGCAAGGTTGATCGATCGAGTAGAAGGCGACATGCGGACCCTTCGCAGACTACGAGGCTGGCGAAGTGTGGCCATGGATCGAGTAGAGTGGAGACAACTTCTTCGGACAGCAGAGGACAACAATTTCAAGCTGCTGAATTAAAAAAAAAAAAAAATTGGAACCAAGACAACCGTCCAAGATATGTGGATTAGAAACATTCTTTGGTTCTTTGTAGAGATGGGCGATCCCGAGCTGTTCTAAAGACCCGATTCACTAAAGCAAGTTGATGACCCACGGTTCATATTTGAGGAACCGCGGCTCATCAGCTCAACCAATCAATCCGTCGTTTACGCGGAACTTATGAAAAAAGTAGAAGGGTCTGTGCCTAGGGGCACGAACGGAACTTGACGTACGACCGCTAGTGGACGGAATAAATGTGAAGAGCATTAAGTTCTTTTAATTGATCAATTATCTATTATCTCAACTCTTTCCGTTTTTGAATTGTAAGCGTACCAAAGAAAGTTGATTAGGATAATCAATCAAAATCACTTGCACCCCTGCTTCCAAGTTTGGTTACAAGATTACAACTCTGGATAGCATTTTGTGGGGGCTTGTGGTTCTGAATATGGACAAACAAGCACAGATAAATTCTATTCCAACTCTTTACTGATGTAAGCTTGATGGCCCTGAAAAGGGCCGTTTTATTGAAGAGGACATCCATGGCCACTTACGCTTCGCGTGTTTAGTGTAGGTGACACCATCACGGACCTCATTTTCAAGGAACAACTTCAGCACACCTCGTAGATCAGACCGGAGATACGTTTGACACCATCACGGCGAGCCAGACGACCGATGGCGGTTATCTCGAAGAACTTTGCGATGACGCTTGGTGCCTCCTTTACCAGACCTCTTCCTCCTTTGTCACGACCAGTCAATTGTTGCTTGTTAGGTGTGAAGGAGTGGACTAGCCACCACCTTCCTACTGCTGCTATTGCTGTTCACCACGCCGTCCGAAGCGAAAATGAACTAATGCCATACAGCAGCGCTCTTTTATATCTTTTCAGGTTAAAGCAGAATGATGTGCAACCAAGTGGTATAAAAGCTACAAAGACTCCTTCCATTATTAGTAGTTTGCTATCAAGTAGCGACACTGGCTCTTTTCCTTTTGCGTACACGGCGAATGAGAACGACCCAAATTTGTGTTTAGTTCACTTATAATCGCCAAAAGTGCAGGAACTCAGCGATGAGTAAATTTGAATCATGGTTTCCTGTGGAAAACCTGAAAAATCTGCCAGAAAATGAGGAAATTGACGAAAATTTTATTCAGTCTTGGACTAGTACCAATAGACAGAGTGAATCCAATCTTTACTTTTCTCAAATTCGGGAATTTTTCCCTGGAAAAACCTGGGAAAACATGAGACAAATTTTACTCATCGCTGAGTTCCTGCACTTTTGGCGATTATGAGTGAACTAAACTCAAATTTGGGTTGTTCTCATTCACCGTGTGACAGCATCACGGATCTCATTTTTCAGGAACACCTTCAGCACAACTCGTAAATCAGACCGGAGATCCGTCAGACACCGCCACGGCGAGCCAGACGACGGATGGTGGTTATCTCGAAGAATTTGCGTTTGGTTCTGAATAGGGTTTTTGATCTAATTTCCGTCGTACTAAGCACAACCCACGCTTTATCTCTCTTTTCTGAACGAGTTTAATTGAAAAGGAGAATATTTCTGTCAAATATAACTTCTAAATTTATTCACCTTTCCATACGTACCATTGGATTTGATAAAGAGTCACAAATTATTGAGATATTGCTGAAAATCTAATACTGGTTCTTGATTCTAAATTCGTCCTACGAGTTTCAATTCCGTCCAAACGCATTGAAACGCCATTAGATTTTCTTCGTCCTACGGATAAACGTAGAAAAAAGGGATTCGCTTGGAGCGCTTCTTTTGTTTTGAGAACAATGAGCGTAAATATTCATACAATGCGCTCTAATAGGGTTTATGTTGCAGCTAATGAACTAACGCATCGGCACATACCTATTATTAATTTGTGCACGGTGAGATCATTCATAATATTGATCTTTTCTGATCAATAGAACGGAAATGGGCGATTACGACGAAGTAGCGCTCTACCCTATGGCGATGAGTGTGCAAAATATTACGCAATTCCATCCTCCCTAGTCGCACGCGCCGGAGGATTGGAGGCGAATGCCACTTCGACATGTTTCGTCTACTTACTACTCTCTGACGACTGTGCTGGGGAAGCAGCATATGCATGTAGGTAATTGGTGGATTTGTTAGTTAATTCGACGCTTTTGAACAATGCTGGACATTTACCAGTTTTTCAATAGTTTCTTGTTGAAAATCAACATTCGGAACATTGTTATCGATGCGTATCTATATTTCTGATCGATTGGTGATAAAATTATTGAAATTGGACCAGGGGCAGCTCAGTTATTAACGTTCAAAATCTTTCTTAATTTGTTACATGTTCCATTTTCGGTTTTCACAAAGTGTACACCCATATAGAAATCAAAGACGTAGTCCTACGTCAAAAGGACGCCATTTACACATTGAACAGCCACCGCGTAACACTAATAAGCATAAAATAAATTTTAATATTACATCCAAGAGAGTGCATCCTCAATCATGTCATTTGTTTATTTTTGTGGCCATAAAATAACATGAGATTTTCGACATGATTGACGTGCTGTGTATGACACAAATGTCATAACCATATACTTTGTGTGAAGTCGGAAAATCTTGGTTCTCTGGTTCGATTTTAAGTTGAAATTTGACAGCTGCTGCAAATATCCGCAAACAAGCTCTGTTCATGCGTGATACTTTGTTAGGAAAGTTTGTCGCGAGCGACGAAAAGGTTTTTTTTTTAACCTTCGTAGTGCCAAAGGGGCTGTTTACTGTGTTTAACAGGAATTCTAGTTGCCTTAAAATGAAATGCATTTTAAATAGATGTAAAAGCACACACTTAAAAAAATAATGTAAATTTAGGCGCACTGAGACTGACATATACGAGCGTCAATTTTGACATAAAATTGAGTCATAATAGACGGTTAATCAAACGTATTTTTCGACGAGTACCGAACTTTTCAGTCTCGGAGCACTTAATTTTATATGAAATGTTTGTTTACGTCTTATCCTTTATGTTAAAGATGGATTCCGTCTCGTGTAAGATTAGGTATTTCTAAGTGTGCAGCATTACTACACCAGTATTGCAACGAGGAGTCTCTTTTATCTTTCTACTCATCCCGTGCGCATCTCACGACAGCAAAACAAAATCTTCTCTGTATCTTAGAAAAAGTCGCACCTCTCCCCCTGGTTATTGTTACGTCCTTGAAACTGGTGGGGATGGGAAGGATGGTAACTAAAACTCTACACAAGGAATTGGAACCGTTTTCGTTTGGTGTTGGAAATTTTTAGTTTTCTTACATTACGCCGGAACAGTTTATTTTAATCTGGACTGGAGAGCTTCAAACTTTCCCGGCACAACGCTAATGTCGTAAGAAAAAAATCAATTTCAATGCATCAATTTATCTTATAAAAATATTTGTATTTTCATTAAACACTTTTAAAGCGATACAACCATGCGGCACACATGATTGTAGCTTAAACACTTGTTGTCAACACTAACACTACCACCATTGGTGGTGGCTTCAGCGAGTATTAGTCATGCCATAGATCTTAATACTACATGTGCCTACCCAAGTAACTAACATTCATAACATTATGTTGACTAAATTTCTAAAGGCTGAATACTAAAGACTAAAGACAAAATATTTAAGACTAAATTCGAAAGACAACAGACAAAGATAAATGACAAAAGACATGAATCACAATGTCAATGTCACCCGGACTTGTTCCTAATACCTTCGGAGATGCATGTCAGAATCTTTCCTGAACCTAAATTAACCACGAGACACATCACATAGCTTTATTAAAAATACAGAACCCAGGCGCAAATTAATTACATCACTCAGAAATTGTCGGGCTTGTTTTTGTTCATTCGGTTTAAGCGTATTTCTCTGAATTTTATATTAAAGAACCAAATCTCAGCACGAGTATTTAAATTTAGATTTTTTTTTCCCAATGTCTTGAAAACCTAGTCGAAATTCCCCGATCTCATTAACACCCGACTCTCCTCACTACCATGGCTTTCAGTCGGTAGCAGAATTAAATAGAATTCAAACACTGCCGACTCTCAACGATAAAAGCACAACATTATTTGGCTCCATCCGTGTGCCACCGCCACACGCGGCCCAAGTTTATTTCATCTTGCCATTTTTGAAACCTAATAAGCTTCCTGCGATTTCACTTACCGAGAAGGACACCCTTCTTCACCCCCACCGTTAGTAAAACCCGATTCAATTAGATGCTTTAGACATGGCAGCAAACGAAATTCTAATTAAGTTCCGTGAATTAATCTCTCAATGCTGTCACGACGACGGACGCTTCCTGTTCGTTTTTCATAACTCCCTTTGTGCCACTCCGACATTGAGTCACTTTTGAAAAGGAAGCAAATCAAAATCCTTTCTTGAGCGCACTTTTGCCGTTTATTTTTTTCTACAGCAAAGCCCAGCAATAAGTTTCACATCCAGAACTGACGACGTCGGTCGTCCGTCGCCAGTGGGCTGGGAAAACGAAAATTTAATTTCCTATTGAATTCCGCTTCCGACCGATTTCACAAAAAAAAAAAAAAAAACTGTCGAAAGAAAAAGCAACAGCGGGAAAATAATTACAGAAAGAACCCATCCAGAATAGGGATGTCGTAGGTCGGTTTGGTTGTCTGCTGGCAGTGCATGAAGGAAAGCTTTTCTTAATCGCGTGCATCGTCTGTTGCTTCCCCTTAGGGGCCAGGCATTTTTCTTCATGTCAGGCGAACAATACACGATCATTTTGTGTGAGGAATTGAATAGAGCTAAACAAATTGCATGATGTGGTGGGTTATCGTACGGTAGCACTGCGCTATGGTAAATCGGGTACAGGTTTCCACTTCCGGGTGCTATGTAACCGTACGACTTAATCGAGGCGTCAGATTGCTTTCTCCTTATTGCAATCATCTACTGATGGGATAATTTTGAACATCGACTCCTGAGCTGTTCTCTATGAGTTAAAATAGAAGCTAAAGGGGAATTTTCGTACAAAATATCATCCATCAATTTGATAAGGATACGATGAAAATTAGAATGAGAAGTATGGAGAATGCTCAAGAAATTGGAGACTTTGCTGTGGTTATT